AATATCCACTTCAACTGGAAATTGCTTATTTATTATTATACTTTAAGTTCTGGGGTACAAGTGCAAAAAGTGCAGGTTCGTTACACAGTTATACACATGCCATGGTGGTTTGCTGTATCCATCACCCCGTCATCTACATTAGGTATTTCTCCTACTGCTATCCCTCCCCTAGCCCCTCACCCCCCGCCAGGCCCCGGTTTGTGATGTTTCCCCTCCTCTATGTCCATGTGTTCTCATTGTTCAATTCCCACTTATGGGTGAGAACATGCCGTGTTTGGTTTTGTGTTCTTGTGTTACTTTGCTGAGAATGATAGTTCCCATCCGCTGGAAATTATTAAACAATTTTTCTAAAAAGAAAGAAGATAGGTCTTCCTTTTTCTTTTCTACTTTCCTTTATGCTTATTGCCATAGTAGTAGCAGTAATGCAAAGAAGACCATGCTTATCTCCATGTCTCAAATGGTAAAAAAGAAAGACAGAAAAGAAAGGGCATATTGTAATAGTGAAAGCTGCTCATGCCCATCCTCAAAGAGGCTCAGAGGGCCTATTTTTGCCTGACCCGGGTGTTCTATTTGTTTGGTTGCAGTTGTTCTATATTCTTTTTCGTATCTTCCTGAAAAATTCTCTCAGATAGATCCTGGGTCCATGACATTAATGTCCACTAGTACACTAAATATTTTCTAATTCGGTAGCTCTTAAATTTGAACAAGCTTTTGAATAACTTGAAGGACTTGTTAAAACACAAACTCCTAGAATCTACTCCTATAGTTTCTGATTCAGTAAGTGTGGGGTGGAGTTCAATAATTTATAATTCTAATAAATTCCCAGATGACGCTGATGCTGCCAGTCTCAGGGACCACATCTGAGAACCACTGTTCTGCTTATTAGTAATTTCATACTTCCCACTGTAGATGGGAGGGAATATCCCAGGAGCTAGGAAGGGTGATTGGGAATGACAATCCCAATAGATGTTCATAGCAGAAGACTTTGTAATACTTGTGTGGGGAGAAGAAATGCTCTTGTAGTATGGTCATGTTCAGAAGTTTCACCAGCATTTGGATGAGACTGCTATATAGTACTAGTGAGACTTTTAAACTAAATCTTGTCCTCCCTATGTGAGATTTCTCATTAGAAAAAAAAAAGGTGGAGAGAAATTTACAATGCACGGAGATGTTCCTTTTCCCCAATCCAGCACGAAATATATTTTGGAGCCACCTACTTTGCTCTGTCTTTATTTCTGTAACACTCTGAACCAATATCATTTCTTTCTTGGGGCGTTAGCATTGAAGTTAAGCCAAGGGAAAAGCACTGGAACAAAAATATGAATGTGAGTGTATATATATAACATATACTATATGTACACACACAATGTTTATATATTTGAAGAAAGTATATTATAATGTTAATATTAAACTGTGTCTACATAGATATAGTTTTCTGGTTCACAATTTGTTACTTTTTTTCTTTTCTTTTTTGAGATGGAATCTTGCTCTGTCACCCAGGCTAGAATACAGTAGCACCATCTCAGCTCACTGCAACCTCCACCTCCTGGATTCAAGTGATTCTCCTGCCTTAGCCTCCCGAGTACCTGGGATTATAGGCACCCACCACCATGCCCAGCTAATTTTTGTATTTTTAGTAGAGACGGGCTTTCACTATATTGGCCAGGCAAGTCTCGAACTCCTGACTTTGTGATCCCCTCGCCTCAGCCTCCCAAAGTGCTGGGATTACAGGCGTGAGCCACCGTGCCCAGTCTGCTGCACTTTTTCTTTCTTTCTTTCTTTTTTTTTGAGATGGAGTCTCGCACTGTTGCCTGGGCTGGAGTGCAGTAACTAGACCTCTGCTCACTGCAGCCTCTGCCTCCTGGGTTCAAGTGATTCTCCTGCCTCAGCCTCCCAAGTAGCTGGGATTACAGGCATGCACCATGATACCCAGCCAATTTTTTTGTACTTTTAGTAGAGACGGGGTTTCACTATGTTGCCCAGGCTGGTCTCAAACTTCTGACCTCATGATCCACCCGCCTCAGCCTCCCAAAGTGCTGGGATTACAGGCGTGATCCACCGTGCCCAGCCCTGCTGCTTTTTTTTCTATGTCTGATAATTTCTTATTGGATATCAGACATTAAATGTTATGTGGTCAAGTATTTAAATTTTGTTGTCTTTTTTCAGAGTTTTGAAGTTTATATTGGCCCACAAGTTAGCATTACAGTTAGGTTACTTGACGATCAACTTGACGGTTTGGAGGATTTTTTTTTTTTTTTTTTTTTTTTTTTGAGACACGTTCTTGCTCTGTCACCCAGACTGGAGTGCAGTGCAAGCATCATAATGTTTACATATTTGAACGCTGTGTATTATAATTTTAATATTAAACTGTGTCTACATAGATATAGCTCTCTGGTTCACAGTTTGCTGGGTTTTTTACTTCCTTTTTTGTTATTGTTGTTGAGACCGAGTCTCACTGTGTCACCCAGGCTGGAGTGCAGTGGCGTGATCAACAGAGTACAGCGGAAGGATCACGAACTACTGGGCTCAAGTGATCCTCCCACATCAACCTCCCAAGTAACTGGGACAATAGGTGCATGCCATCACCCCTGGCTGACTTTTACTTTTTATTTTTTGTAGAGGGAGGATCTGGCTCTGTTGCCAGGCTGATCTTGAACTCCTGGCCTCAAAGGATTCTCCCACCTCAGCCTCGCAAAACACTGGGATTATAGGCGTGAGCCACAGAGCCAGCTGGGAGACTATCTTTAAGCTTTGTTAGAGTGTCTAGAATAGCCTTCACTGTATGGCTAGTTTAGATTTTAAGTCCTGATCCTTCAGGGGTTTCTATTGATTGCCCTATGGCTCAATGAGGTCTTTCTGGCTGAGTAGGATTTGAGCCCTTCTTCCCTCTGTCCTTTGAGAATTGTTCAGTTTCTAGTCTCCAGAAATTGTTCTTTGCCCAGTGTGTGAAGTTTCACTCTATCAGTATACAGAGTAGTTATTCAGCCAGAGACCTAAGAAGACCCCTGTGTCGATTTTGGGAGCTCCTTCTCTGTATAGCTTCCTCCTCTCTGGTACTTTACCCTACGGATTCCAGCTCCCTCACCTCCCAAAGATCCAGTCTCTATCTCCTTAATTTAGTGAGACCATTGCGCTTTGCTCAGGTTTTCCTTCCCTGTCCTGTAAGTTCAAAATTGTCCCTAGATAGGAAGCTGGGGCAATTGTAAGGTTTGGCTTAATTATCTGCCTTCTCTTAAAGTTGTCTTTCCCTACCTGTTGTCACAGTGTGTGAAAACAGTTGTTTCATATATTTTGTCCAGTTTTCTTGTTGTTCACCATAGGAGAGGCCACTCTGTACCAGTTACTTCATGGTTAGTAGTGGAGCTCAGCATCTTTACAGTGAGGAAGCTTCCAGCCCCTGTATGTTTATTTAGGTCTTATTTGATCTCTCCATGTATGTCTTACACAATTAGTGTTAGATTTCTTTCCACATCTTCATGCTTTTATGCCATTTACAAATTTATAATTCTAAAATTTTATGTTCTACCTACTAATTGCCACTATAAAGAAAAAAATAATTTTGTATATCGATTTTTCTATCTAGTAACCTTGTTGATAGTGTATTTTTTTATTATAAATATCGTTTAAAAATAAAGATAGCTTTGTTTTTTTATTTCTAATCCTTACATATTTTTTTTTCTTTGCCCTATTTCATTGGTTAAGAGTCTATTTATTTCAGGCCGGGCATGACAGCTCACGCCTGTAATCCCAGCACTTTGGGAAGCTGAGGCAGGTGGATTGCTTGAGCTCAGGAGTTCAAGACCAGCCTAGGCAATATGGCAAAACTGTCTCTACAAAAAGAAAAAATAAATAAAAATAAAAATAAAAATTAGCCAGGTGTAGTGGCCTGCTTCTGTAGGCTCAGCTACTTAGGAGATTGAGGCGGGAGGATTGCTTGAGCCTGGGAGATTGAGGCTGCAGAGCCAAGAGTATGCCCCTATGTTCTATCCTGGGTTACAGAGAAAGATCCTATCTCAAAAAACATCTATTTCTTGTTAGCTAAGGTTTTTTGAAGTCATAAACAGATGTTGAATTTTATCAAATGCTTTTTTCTGTATTTACTGAGATACTTGTATGATTTTTTCACTTCAATCTGTTAATGTAGTGAATTACATTTTTAAAAAAATGTGAAAACAATCTGTGCTTCTAAAATAAATCCAACTTGGTTACGTTATATTTTCCTTTTTTTATGCATTGCTTGATTTGCTATTATTTTGCTTATGATTTTTACATCTATGCTTATGAATGAGATTGGTGTATAATTATCTTTTCCCTTTTTCTTGTCAGTGTTGCACTAACATGTTATACTATCCATTGAATCAATTTGGAATTAATTATTTCTTGAATATTTGATAAAATGTTTCTATTTGTTCAATTTCTTTTTCCCTTCTTTACTGAATTCTTTTGAATTGATTGAGGTTTCTGGAATAATCATTACATATTTTCTCCTTTGGACCTCATAAGCACACTGTTTCCGTTTTTTAGTGGTTACAAGAAATTTCAACATGCACGTTAACTTATCAAAGTCTGTAGCTAAGCAATACTTTTACTTTTGGTATAAGAGCCTTAGAACACTTTAACCCCTTTTAACTTTCTCCTGATGTATATTATTACCGCAGTGTATTTTAATTCTGTCTTTTCAAATTTTACACCATAAATAATTGTTTTTATTTTATACAGTCAACATTCACCTATATGTTACTAATATATTTGCTACTTTCTTTTTGCATCTGGGACTGTCTAGTCTGTTCCTTTTGTTAATCTCTGTGAGTCCTTTTCTGCGGTGTTTCTGCTGGTTCTTCCTCATGGCGCTTTGTTTCTTGCGCGGTTGCTTTTTGTTTTGTTGTTTTGTTTTTAACTGTAAGCTGTTCATTGTCCCTAGAAAATTATTTGTGGGGATGTTGTGAGGACTCAGATGAAGGTGAATCCCTTCAAAAAGTATTTATACTTATTTCTGCCAGGTGCTTAGAGGGTCCAGGGCTAACCCAGGGCCACTTTAACGCTGTAGCTGCAGGCTTTGGAAATCATCAGCTGACGTGCATTTGGCCAGAATACCCAGGTGAGGCTCAGGTTTTGGTTACAATTTCTTAGGAATGTGCTCTTATTTGCCCTCTTAAGCCTCTAAGCACCAGAATGTCTTTTCTTGCAGTCTGCTCTGAATTCCCACTTTTGCTTAGATTTTGGCCTGTGATTTTACCGGTGAGTGATTTTATGTTTTAAAGAATATTTTTAATGCCTATTAAGTATGTTTCGTTATCAGTGGGAGGTGCTGTCTGCGTAACAGTGTGCCATTAAGGAGTGTAACATTGTTTTCTAAGTTTTTGAAAAAAACTTTTGGTAAAATACACAAAACATATAGAATTTATCATTTTAACCATGTTAAAGAGGACACTTCAGTAGCATGAAGTACATTCAGTTTGTTGTGCAACCATCCTCACCATTCACCTGTAGAGTTTTCATCATCCCCAACTGAAACTCTATACCCAGTAAGCAATAGCTCCCCATTTCCTCTAAAACCCAGGCCTCTGGCAACCACCATTCTACTTTCTGTCTCGATGAATTTGACTACAGGTACCACGAAGGAGTGGAATCATACAGTATTTCTCCTTTTGTGATTGGCTTCTTTCTTTTGGCATAATGTCTTCATGTTTCACATGTGTCTTTCTAAGAGTTTGAAAGTGTTTTTTTCATAGCTGTGGACCTAGGTTCCCTAGGATTAATTTGTATTTAAGTATGAGGTGCACATCTAAATGTACCCCAAACGGATATGCTGTTGTCCCCATATAATGTATTAATTGATCAATCTTTTCCACACTGATCTGTAACGCCATCTGTCATATATCAGATTGCTGTGTAGATAGAAGCCTGTTTCTCTGTTTTGCTCTGTTTGTCTATTATCTATCCTTATACCAGAAGGTAGTCTTAGTTATTAAGGCTTGCAAGTAATTCAATATTATCATTTCAACATGTAATCAACTTTAAAAAATTATTATATTTTTCTAACTTTTAAGTCCAGAGGTACATGTGCAGTTTGTTATACAGGTAAACTCATGTCACAGGGATTTTTTTATACAGATTATTAAACCAGGTACTAAACACAGTACCCAATTAGTTATTTTTTCTGACCCTCTCTCTCCTCCCATCTACCACCCTCAGGGAGGCTGGGGTGTGTGTTGTTCCCCACTCTGTGTCCATGTGTTCTTGTCATTTAGCTCCCACTTAGAAGAGAGCATGCGGTATTATTCCCTCCCCCTAGTAGGTATGGGTTTTTTTCTAGCCTCAGCTCGTGTCATCTGGAGCTCCCCACAGGCCTGTGGGTGAAGGTTGAAAGGGGAGAGGTAGTATGACAGAGTACGCAGGCTGAAGGTGGAAGTCCCCTGCTTTTTCCACCTGTGCCTTTAAGTGCCCTTGGGTTCAGTTTCAGATGCGTTGTTTCTGCCGGATTGCTGGGGGTGCTTCAGGTGAAAATGCTGTGGATCAGAAAGCACCCACTTTGTGGCACTGCTAGATCAAGTGGGCTGCTTGTGGTCATTGGCTTACTGTCTTCTCAGTGCCTAATAGTTGTCTCAGGAGTTGAAACATTTAACATATCCACTTAGTGAATATTGATTGAGTGCCTATTATATGATAGCACTGTGGATTTAGCAGTCATGCAAATAGACAAAGTCCCTGATCTTATGACATTTAAATTCTAGTCTATTAAAAGGAAAATACTGTAGTGGTTTTTTTTGTGTTGGATACAATGTATGATTATTAATGGAATGTGTCCTTTTTTTTTTTTTTGAGATGGAGTCTCTCTCTGTTGCCCAGACTGGAGTACAATAGCCCAAAGTTGCTCACTGCAACCTCTGCCTCCAGGGTTCAAGTAATTCTGCATCAGTGTTCCGAGTAGCTGTGATTATAGGTGCCCATCAGCACTCCAAGCTAATTTTTGTATTTTTAGTAGAGATGGGGTTTCACTATTTTGGCCAGGCTGGTGTTGAATTCCTGACCTCATGTGATCCACCCATCTTGGCCTCCCAAAGTGCTGGGATTACAGGCGTGAGCCATCATACCTGGCCAGAAATTTGTTCTTTTTTTTTTTTTTTTTGAGACAGAGTTTCACTCTTACTACCCAGGCTGGAGTGCAATGGCGCGATCTTGGCTCACTGCAACCTCCGCCTCCTCGGTTCAGGCAATTCTCCTGCCTCAGCCTCCTGATTAGCTGGGATTACAGGCACGCACCACCATGCCCAGCTAATTTTTTGTAGTTTTAGTAGAGACGAGGTTTGACCATGTTGACCAGGATGGTCTCGATCTCTTGACCTCGTGATCCACCCGCCTCGGCCTCCCAAAGTGCTGGGATTATAGGCTTGAGCCATCGCGCCCGGCAGAAATTTGTTCTTTTATTGGTTTTTGTTCTCTACATTTAAAATATTTCTGAAGACATGAATTGAAAAATATTTTATTGCTGGTGACAAAATCTTCAACAAGTTCATTTTCATGAGCACAGCATTGACTGGCAAAAAGATATGGATATCTGCATAATTAAGGTCAAATTTCTGACAGGCAAAACTGCAGGAATAGTCAGGCTTCTGCACACTCTGAATGCACTTGTTAATCTGCATCCTTAGCTGGGCACAGTGGCTCACGCCTGTAATCCCAGGACTTTGGGAGGCCGAGGTGGGCGGACCACGAGGTCAAGAGATTTAGACCATCCTGGCTAACATGGTGAAACACCGTCTCTACTAAAAATACAAAAATAGCCAGGTGTGGTGGCATGCACCTGTAGTACCAGCTACTCGGGAGGCTGAAGCAGGAGAATTGCTTGAACCCAGGAGATGGAGGTTGCAGTGAGCAGAGATTGCACCACTGCACTGCAGCCTGGGTGACAGAGCAAGACTCTGTCTCAAAACCAAACCAAACCAACGAACCAAACAACAACAACAAAACTAATACATTGAAGTAATCAGAAGTAGATACTTTATCGCCATTTTACATAACAACAAAACTATCTCAAATTTTCTTGTGAAATAAATAGGATGGCCTGTGTAGCTTGGGACATGGTAGGTGCCCCATCAATGAGAGATTCAGAGATGGCCTAGCCATACAAGATGTGTAAATCTAGATTAAATATTTATTTTTTAAAATAAGACTCACACATATATGTAATCTCAGCACTTTGTGAGGCCGAGGTGGGAAGATCACTTGACCATAGGAGTTTGAGACCAGCCTGAGCAACATGGTGAAACTCTGTCTCTACAAAAAATACAAAAATTAGCCAGGCGTGGTGGCACACACATGTGGTCCCACCTGCTCAGGAGGCTGAGGCAGGAGGATCACTTGAGCCCAGTGAGTTGTGATCATGCCACTGCACTCAAAACCGGGTGACAGAGGGACACTCTCCTAAATAAATTTAAAAAGCTATAAAGAACATCCTTGGGACAATTCCAGACTTTTGGATTCAAGCTGGATATAAGATAGGGCATTACTGTTGATTTTCTTAGGTGTGATAATGACATTGGGGTTATGAAGGAGAATATCCTTGTTCTTAAATGATGCTTGAGGAAATATTTAGGGGAAAAAGTGTCATGGGTATCTGTGACTTACTTTCAATGGTTCACAAATAAAAATAGATAAAGAAGACTGTTACTAATAGCTAGATAAAGGTGGTAGGTTTATGAGTGCTCATTATCCTGTTCTCCCAACTTTTAAGGATGTTTAAAATTTTTCAAAATAAAAGCTTGGAGAAAAAAATTGTAGTTCTCTTTTACTCTCCCCTATTTAAAAAATAAATTATGATTATGTAATTTCCCAAAGAGAATCTATTCCCAAAATGTGAATTAGAAATTGGGGACCATACAAATTGAAGGAAGATTCAGAAAAGGTTTTGTTGTTTTTCTTTTAAATCTAAGTTACATCACTCGTGGGTAAACAGGTCTGAGGCAACACTGTTCATGAACTTTGTCACAACAAATACTGAATGTTTATTTTCCTGAACTCCGTTTAACCTTGTACATTCACCTTCGTGTTGGCGAAGAGTTGTATTTCATAGTTCCTAGCAAGGCAGTGCCACCTAGTCCACATAAGTGTTCACATTATGGCACACCTGGGGGCGCTGTGGGCAGTGAAGCCAAGACAGTTAGAAGATGCAATTTCACTTGATGAGTTTACAGTTTAATTGGAAGCCAAAACATGATGAAGCCGAAGGACACATTCAGAACAATTTGGAAACTACAAGTTAAAATAGCACGGTTCCTTGGGAGGCAGAGGTTGCAATGAGCCAAGATTGGCCATTGTACTCTAGCCTGGGTGACAGAGTGTGACTACATTTCTAAATAAATAAATATAAAATAAAATAAAATAACACAGTTCCAAAAGTGGTGATAAGGAGGAATTTGTCACTAACATTGGTGTGGGAAAAAAGCTGTGGTGATAATCCAGATGTTAACAATGACCAGATGTCTGCTATAGACTTCACACCTCTGCAGAGATTACATTTTTCTTCAAGTCCAACCAGATTCAGGGTGCCACCACTGGAATTTTCTGTTGCTAGCCACATTTCCAGTTTAGGGATTCCTTCCCTGAAGTTGAAGCTTGGGAATGGCATTGTGTATCTAACCATGGAGGAATTGTTTTTGTGACCATAGTTTCTGCAAGTCCACAAAGCCCCCAGGATAAAGAATGCTTCCAAGACCAGGCGCAGTGGCTCATGCCTGTAATTCCAGCACTTTGGAAGGCTGAGGTGGGTGGATCACTTAAGGTCAGGAGATCAAGACCATCCTGGCCAACATGGTGAAACCCTGTCTCTACTAAAAATACAAAAATCAGCTGGGCATGGTGGCACATGCCTGTAGTCATAGCTACTTGGGAGGCTGAGGCAGGAGAATCGCTTGAACCTGGGAGGCGGAGGTTGCAGTGAGCCGAGATTGTACCACTGCACTCAAGCCTGGTGACAGAGCAAGACTCTGTCTCAAAAAAAAAAAAAAAAAAAGGAATGTATCCAGCATCCAGTATACCCAATATGTATTGAATTTACAATATATCACAGTAGTAGGTAGAAATCTATGATCCTTAGTATTACACTGAAGAGGGTATTAGTGATTTTCTTAAGGAATGCCAACAAAAATAGTTGATCCCCTAAAATGTCACGATAGGGAAAAGAAAATGACCTAGATTCATGTAGAATCCTTACAGCTACTATGACATTTATTCTAAAAGTTTTATCTGATGTGACAGACCTATTACAATTCTCATACATTTACCCAGGCACTTTCTGCAAGTATAAAATATATTAATTTAATATTGTGGTTTTAAGGCTAAAAATCATTTTTTAGTAAGTGAAAAATGTACAAAAGTATTTCTTTTTACCTCTAGATGGTGCTGTGTATTGTTTTTTGTAAGTACAAGTTGCCTAACTTTTAAATTGGATGGACTCTTAAAGATTAACCATCTTATTTTACAGATAAACAAACTACAATTGATTAAAATTTTGTTTTAAGATAAAAATTCTGGTTTGAGGCAGAGCCAGGACTAAAGCGTTTTTCTGGTCAAGTGTTTAATGTATGAATCATTTTACAAAAGTATTTTCATTTCCAAGTTATTTCAAGCAGTATTGTACAGTTGTGACAAGTTTAAAATTTTATTTTATTCATTTATGAAATTTTCTTAGAAAGTTCTGAAAAAGAATGATTCTCCAAATTAAAATGAAAATAGATAATAATGACAGATAATAGGCTCTTATTATGTGCACATCTAAATTACTTTATCAAAGAACTCCCAATGGTTAAAGAACACAGAGAACTTGCTGAAAAGGAAATATAAATTGGTAATAATTACATGAAAATACATTCAAACTCACTAACGATCAAATAAAAACTAAAATAGCAACATGGTATCCCCTTGTCCCTTTCAGATAAGCAAAAAGGTCCATAAGGTGATCATCTTTCAGAGATGCTGAGTCAGTGGTAAGACAGGTATTTCACCCGCAGGCTGTAGGGGCATCAATTAGTACAATTATCTGAAAGTTAATCTGACAGATGTTATCAGGAATCTTAAATCGTTCAAACTCCGACCTAGCAGTTCAAATTCTAGTCTCCTGTCTGTAGGAAATAAATAGAAATATGGACACTTATATGCAAAGACATTAACTACAGCATTACATATGGTACTTATAAGTAAGAAAATCATTACATAAATTAGGGTATGGTCATGATATCTCACAGCCATTTACAAACTTTTTGCAAATAATTTTAAATGACATAGGAAAATATTCATAATGCTATCCTGAATTAAAGAGGAGACTAAAATCTATTAACATGGTATTAGCTATATAAAAATATTACAATATTTAGAGAAAAAGAATGAAAAACATTCAAATATTAACAAAGGTTATCTAAATAGGCAGAGTATGGGTGATTATTTCTTTCAGTTTTCTTCTATTTTTTTCAAGTTTTCTATGAAGTATAGATAGTACTTTTATAGACAGAAAAAAAGTTATTTTTAAAATGAAGTAAGTAGCATTTGAAATGATTTTGAAACCTGGCCGGGCGCAGTGGCTCACGCCTGTAATCCCAGCACTTTGGGAGGCTGAGGCGGGTGGATCATGAGGTCAAGAGATTGAGACCATCCTGGCCAGCATGGTGAAACCCCGTCTCTACTAAAAATACAAAAAATTAGCTGGGCATGGTGGCGTGCGCCTGTAGTCCCAGCTACTCAGGAGGCTGAGGCAGGAGAATTGCTTGAACCAGGGAGGCGGAGGTTGCAGTGAGCCGAGGTCGCGCCACTGCACTCCAGCCTGGCACTTG